CCCACACACACACACACACACACACACACACACACACACACACAGTGCCAGTGGAGTCGCAGCTAAAGTGTAAACAACCTCCCACACACACACACACACACAGTGCCAGTGGAGTCGCAGCTAAAGTGTAAACAACCTCCCACACACACATTTACCTGAAATCTACCTTCATTTAACATTCAGCCACCGCGATGATGAAGCAGACAACTTTTATTAGTCGCTTTGTCGTTTTGTGTCATTTTCACAACATGGATTACTTGTTTTTTTGCATCATGTTGATCATGTTGTTAACAAAGCACACACACAATGAGGCGGCTATAAAGGAAATAAAAGCTTCCTCGATCAGCTCACTCTTCCCTGTATTGTTCTTTGTTTATTTGTGTGTGCTCTGAATCAGCAGCTTGTCCAGCATTAGAGTGATGCCTTTCATAGAATAACAAGTATTTGACTACATTAGTCCCATCAAACAACAATAATTATGTTTTAATGTATAACATACTTTCCCACTACTTTTCTGAAAGTTGTATCCGTCTTTGTCTGGTACCCATACAAGCACATGGAGCTAACTGTGTTTTATTGACATTAGCTTTACAGATTGTTTCCGGTCTCTCAGAGCCCATTGGTATGTAAAGAAATAACAATAATCATTTCACAATCAACCAATTTGTCTTTTAATTTGTTTTTCTTTTTTCTGACCTTGTTAAAACACAAGTATCACAATGGGAACCCTTCTTTATAAACAAACTGTGATAAAACTCCAAGAACAAACATCTAAATAGACTTGTGCTGCGTTTGGGAGGGGATTGCTGCGTCACAGATATATAGAGCAGACGAATCACTCGTATTTAACTAGCTCTCACTGCTGGAGTCTCTGGGACCCCAGACACGAGTTACAAAACATCTACAACATTTCATCAGTTGAAAAATCATGTTCGTATTAAATCCTCATAGAATTGTGAGAGTTATGCAGATAAGAAAAACAATTCAAAGTATATTTTTGAGTTATTAAAAAGAGCCTCGGGTCTCCAGGAGCCGACACAGAACATCAGTATAAGTATTTTATACAATATTTTGTCATATTTTGTTAGCTTTTCATTAAAAATGTAATTATTTGTGAAACTTAAGTGGTATCTTGCACAGTTTATCCGGTGAAACCTCACATGTCCTATAAAATTAAATATATATGATAGTCTGAATTTTTGTGAGTTTCCAGAATTAAGTAAATGAGTTATTGTTGATATTAAATCTGTGTACAATGATTTGGCTCGAGTCCCAGAATCAAGTAGACTGCTGATGTTTGATTACACATCTAGTGCATATGTGTGTGTGTGTGTGTCGTTTTTAATGTTTTTCCTGGTTTTGTCTGCAGTTCGTAGGAACCTGAACGATTAACAAAATCAGCGGAGGCTGAACATGATGGAAAACTTGGCCACAAGCCTGGTTTTTATCATTGTGGTGGTCAACGTCTTCATCACGGCCTTTGGAGTCCACAGGCCGAACCATGGCGACTGACCGCGAACACACGTATTCTCCGTTTCTGCTGCTCACATGTATTCTTTATGCTCCGCTCTCTCTCCATACAAAAGGTAGTTTCTCTCCTGCCTTACTATGCAGTTGTCTCCTATAGACATCTATGTAGTCAGCATGTTTTTTTTTTGGTCCCCTCCTCCCATGACCTGACCCTCACATTCTCTTACCTGACCTACAAACACACTGACCTCTCCAGGCTCTCAGAGAAATTTCCAACGGAAAAAAAAAACAACAACTCACACGAAAATTGCTCATTTGCCAGAAGATCATTGTCCTGCACTGAGACAAAACAGCCCACAGGAGACAAAGGGGTCTGCTACGTCAAACAACGCAACATTTTGGTCCTCGACAAACAGGAAAGTGGAGACAAACGTGACCTCACGCTGTCTGCCTCCTTTGCTGCCCGAGAGTGACCCCGAGCACCGGCCAGACACAAATGCACACACACACACACACAAATGCTGACAGCAGGACAGGCTTCAATTTTTAATTGCATCGATGACGTTCGAGCAAGATGTCATGGTTCTTTTCCAGACAGCACGGTTTGGTTGTGCCGCGACTCTCCTGCGCTCTGAGCAGAAGCTGGAGTGCGTCTGTGGCTCTCTGGACCGGCAGCCGGTGAGTCAGAGTCAACACGGGCCCCGGCAGAACTGCTTGTTAAAATGGAAGCGTTAATTAGACCGTGTTCCAGCGATGTCACCGGCAACCCCAATTAGAGCCCCGAGCAAAATGCTCATTTAATACACTTCAGTGGTTTGACACAAGAACACAAAAAGCAGTTTGAGCCGGTTTCTGAATGTGAGCGTCCGTTAGACACCTGGAGGACACTCATGCTCTAGTGTCTGTTCAACGCGACTGTGACAAAGCACCTTTTCAGACAACAAGCCCGACGTCACAATCTGATCCTTTTTCCTCCTCCACAACTATCATTGGTAACCCTGGAAACAGCCAGACGAGCCGAGAGCCAGATTGATGACACACACACAGCTCCACTCAGGGCAGATCTGTGGACTGAGAGAGAGAGAGAGAGAGAGAGAGAGAGAGAGAGAGAGAGAGAGAGAGAGAGA